GATGTGTTCAGGGTAAGGGCCCTTCATCTCAGATTCCCATAATAACCTCTCAATTTCAATTTTTAGATACCGAAAGAACTGCAGTGTAATATCTACAACAAACTGCGCGACACGGATCCGGATCGTCTGGACCGATTCCTGAACCATCTATCGAGAACTGAAAGGTTTGTGACGGTCGTGGGCAACAACCCCCCCCCCTGAAATTGTGGCCTGTATCTCAAGATGACGATTTTCAGCAGTGATCATCAGCTGATGTCGCCGTTCCCGGCAACAGCTGAAGAGGGTCAGCGAAATTGTCCATCTCCAGGAAGCCATTCCAACGGAAAAGGTAAGGTGCAATAGAAGAATCTTCGGTGTAGTTCGGCTTGGAGGGGCATTTTACTAGTTCCCATCGGCCACTGCCGATAGCTCCTTTGGAGACGCGTGAACTCCTGCAAAGTTTCGCAATCGCTTCTTTCACAAGAGACTACAAGTCTTACCAAGATGCGACCTGTAATTCTGCAGAACGCCGCTCTCCAAGCCGAACAGCACCAAATAGTCCTCTTCAATCTGCTTCTAAAGGCGCAGTCCACGCTGGCAATATGGGCGGGTCATGCCTACCATGGTGCCTCTCATTGGTGTGCCCAATGTTCTTGAGACCGACGGCGCGACTAGTATTCTAATATTCTGGGAACTGGTCGGCTCTTCATAGAAACCCATCGACACCATTAGGGGAGTCGCACTTTGGAACAAGGCACGTCCCGCCCTGGGGAAAATTTTCGGAAAATACGACCCTCACCCTAATTCCCTAATCTGAACCTCCTCCCTTCCCCATCCTATCTATCACCTCCTGGATTTTCCCAACTTTCTACCGATTCCAGTTTTTCTGAAATTTCCCGAAAATTTTGCAGTTTTTCCAGTGAATTTTGCCATCTAGCGAAGGGGGGGTGAAGGGCGGGGTCATCAGCAACCGATTTGATTCAACTATCAAAAATAATTGCTAGAACTGACAAATACGACCCCCTCCTAACAACGAAATACGAACCGGTCGCGAAACAAGAAGAATCCAACTACCAAAAAAGTTCTCTCAGACCAATACGACTGCCCCAGCGACCAGATACGACCCACCCCAGCTGGGGATTCCCCAACGTATGGTGGTCTGCTTAAAAAAATCACTAACGCAGCGATGATACCCCTGAGTGGCAAGGGCACAAGAAGGCCTGACTCCGCCCAACAATCGCCGTGGACAGTTGCCTTTGAACTCCATTCGCGGACAAAACAGACAGCTGTTTAGATTCGCTGTCAGCCTAAAGTCTCCACACCCACACGCGTAGCTTTCGCAAACGGAGCGGTTCATGGCCGTTCTCGTTGGGTCGAAGCTCTCGACAACAGCAGTTCTTTCCAGCTGATTCTGCTTGTCCATCGACAAGTTCTTGTCCCTCGGATGAGAACGAATCCAAGGAAGCTGCCAGTTCAACAGGCCACAATACCGATCCTGTAAGCAAAGATCTCGCCACCACACCACCAGGTAAGCTTTGATGGCTACTGTTTCTACGAATTATGATGACGTACACTTCTTCAGATCGAGCTCGATCTCCATCGCGGGAGCGCGACTTCCGTCTGACGGCTCGTCTCGGAGCTGCTGCTGCTCGACGTCGACCCCCCCCCCTCCTCACCCCCCACTCTGCAAATGTTGTGCGTGCATTCCGATTCTCCAGCGTCACTAGAAGTTCTCCCAACGTCGCCAACTTCTAAGCGACCCGTTGGTAGCCCATTTTCGTCTTCAGCCTTTCTGAAGACATTATCTTGCTCAGCTACACACTAGATCTTCGTCCAGTACTCAATCTAGAATTAGGCTGATGTTCCGATGGTCGCCCACCTCGCACTGTCCTTCACTTCCATTCTAGTCGGACAGCTTTTCCACCCATTACATTCCTTCACAATCATCTCACCATTCATATCATTTTCCTTATCATCATAATCATCACAGTTATCGAATTTCGATCTCACCAGTACGGTTGTACTCATTGTATGAGCCTTCGTTCTAGTTACTACGCTAACGCGCCAAATAAAAATTGCATTCGCTTTTTTGTGAAGTTCTCAGTACAGTATTCAGAGCAACATCGGTCGCGCAGCGAAGAAACACTGAATGTCCCGAAGGAGAGTCCAGACAAGGGGGAGAAAGCTGATTTGAGAGAAGCTTGGAACGTGTGATCACCCAATTCTCCGTGCGCACAGTGCTACCAAAGGCCACACCGCTCATACATTAAGAGGCGAAAATGTCAGGCTAGCAAGTCACCAGCCTGTAGGCGTCTTTGCCACGCACTTTTGACTGGCAAAAGTAGCAGTATTGCAGCGGTTGTGAGCCTACCCCTCACACACGGATGAGATTGTAGCTTTCTGCTAATAGTGGCTTGTGCCTTAAGATATTAACGTCACCATAGCAACACTCGAAGTAAACAGTAATACTCATGTCCACGTAATCGTTCCATGGTAACAACAATTGTCCAGAAATTGTTCAGCATGTGGGACTAAAATCTCTGAATGAGAAGACTGTTCCGCAGAGTCGGTCATCAGGCACGTCGTACGCTGGGATCCCCAGCGAGGGGGTCATTGCGCTGGAGTGGCAGGAGGGGACTGGGTTGAATTTTTCTCGAATTTTTTCTCGAATTTTTCGGAAAAAACCAAGAAAAGTCAACAACCGCTGCGCTTTACTCAACCCCATCCACTCGACGCGCGGTTTCAGGGAGGGAGAAAACAGGACAAAATGTAATTGTATTGTAAGTTGGGGAGTATCTAGCGAAGATGGTAGGTAGCATGAGGGATGGGGAACAATAGGGGTGGGGGCGGGGAGTCATACCAGAGGAGGAACATGTTCCTGGGGTGGGGAAGGTTTACTTTGCAGAAGTTTTCCCCAATGGCAGTTTGTGCCCGTAGGATGAGGGATGAGGAACAAGGCTACGGGGGGAAGGGGGGGGGGGGGAGAGAGAAGGAAATCATATCAAAGGAATTGTCCCTATGGGGAGCCTTATTTCACAGAAATTTTCCCAATGGCAGGACCTACCCTATCCGTTATCACTGTAGAAAAGGTGAGTAAACCAACAAGTTCCCTCAAAGATTCAGATACAATCAGTCTCATCATTCTAGTGTGCGTATGAGTGGAAGCGAGGTACAGAGCCCCGAGTAGAACCGAAAAAATGCAAAAATTAAAAAATCCAAGCTTCCCTTGTCTAGGTTGCTTTTCAGAGCGAGCGCTCTCACAAGTAACGTCAAAAGGCAACAGCGAACAGCTTTCAATGAAATATTAGACAAGAAAGTTCTAAATGATTAGGGTACGTTCATACTTCGCGTTCTCAGCGTATGCCAGCTTCTCCAACAACTAGGAAAGTATAGGTATCGATCCCCAGTTTTCAGTGCACTCCAACATTTCGGGCAACTAGGAAATTATAGGCATTCACCCAGCGTTTCAGTACACCGGCGTGCATTGCCCGGCTCACAACGATACCCCTACTTACAAGCCGCTCAAAGCGCTGAAGCAAAGTATAAATGCACTTCAGCTACGCACGCTCAAAACGCCCACGCATAGTATGAACGCACCCTAACAACTGTTTAGTGCTGCAGTTCGCGCTCCGAAAGTTACGACAAGAATGATAAGTCACGACCAAAAATCGTAATCCTTCCTCCACGCAAAGAGAAGGGACACGTTGCTTAACGTCACATAAAACAAAAATCAGCTAGTTATTAAGTTTATTAGTAAACAAAACATATGTACAATAACAACATAAAAGAACAAGTTAATCTACAACCTACTCAAAAAAAACTTCAGCTTATTAGTTAGATGACACTAAAACAAATGGCCTCTTTGAATAAGCATCTTTGGTGGGGAAGGTTAGTAGAATATGTCAACTTCAACGAAAGCAAACTGCCGAGGTAAAACAAGCCCGACCGAGCGAGCAATTTCAAAGTGAAAATCAGAAAGAATACCCCGTGAAACCCTAATCAAAATGTTACACACCGACAACAGAGCACCGACGGAAGAACAACCGAATGAATCACATAAAAGTCATCTTGAAGGCAAGTGCCAATCGCTGCGGGCCACTCAGTTTCACTGCTAATTGGGTGTAGTAAAGGTCTTGCAGCCTTCTACCAATGAGCTAGCAATAACCGACCGACCAGCATCTGGCTCACTGCTTTCAACTACGCCTAGAAACACAAGTTCTTTGTTAGCCGGACAGCGCCACCTTCTGCGATATCACGTAGTCCAAATCCTTCTCATGTACTCGTTTTATGTGCTTTCGGAGCTCGCTGGCTAGTGGATAGCTGAAAAATGACTGAATTTTGAAGACATCATTGCTAAGAATGCGTCCATACTTTGCGTCAGTTTCAAAGCGTTCCGAGCGTGCACAACCTGCGAGGAAAGGCACGGCATCATCTTGACGTTATGGCGAATGCGGGCTTTTTGAATGTTTTCGCAGGCAGTCGCTCGAAACGCTCATACGCTGTCGCACGCTCAAAACGCTAATGCAAAGTATGAACGCAGCCTGATAAAACCGAACATACCTCCTTCCACACGTGGTACACTCATGATTATTCTTATTTTCATGAATTCTTTTCTTATGTGTAATCATGGAGGCATGAAAGGAAGGTCTTCGAGACAAATATCGCTACTGACTACGGTAAGGGCAGGCCTGAAAGAAAATGCTGCGGTTAAGAGCGGTTCTACTCAGAAATCGAACAATCCTACATAAGAATACTTACAGTAACAACTTTCACATAACCATGCGTATCGACTTCGAGGTCATTCAATTTCTCGGGGTGCTTTCTTTCGATGTGACGCCTTCGCGATTGCATTGAAGCACATACCAGGAAACAGACAGTAAGGACACGACTTATCTGAAAATTGTCTTTAATAAATTTGGATATGCAGATGTAAGGCGCAGTTCAGGGGAGGGGCGGGGCTTTTGAACTTTCGTTGCCTTAGTAGTACCTGTTTACAAGTCTCACTCAATGATGAAGCTGGAGCAAGCTCGTCGAGCCAGTTAATATGTACCTCTCAACTCTTGTAGGTTCATGAAAAGCTCTCCAGATGGTTCGACACGTCGACACACGAATGTAAAATGCACTCCCCCACGTCGCCGAACTGCGCCGATTTTGAGGAACCAGCGTTCAAATACCATAGCTCACCTTTAACTGGACGACCGGAAGCACTTCCTATACTAACAGTACTTGCAGCACCAGAAGAAGATGAGATAACAGATTCGGCCCAACCGCTCACAGAAGTAATCGTAGACATTGCATCATCAAGTTCTTGGCGTGCTTCTTTCCTCCTTTCAGCAATCTTATCTCTTGACCCACAGTAATACTTATGCCGCTGAAAAGTCACGCTTATTCACATGTATGAGGTATATGAACATTGGAAGTGAAGGAGATAGACTTTATAAAAAGCCCGTTCCACGCAAACATGCAGCAGTACATTCAGAAACCGGCGAGTCAGAGCGCGCACAGACCTGCGAGCAGTGGTACTCGACTGCCGTCTCCACTCCGCCTGCGCTGCAGCATGGGAACCCGCCCCCTAGCCAACACGCTACTTGTGCCCTCTCACTTCTAGTTGTTCCCTGCCTTTGATAGCGTGTTTCGCTGCAGGACCCTGGTATCGACGCAACCTCTGCACCACTGAGAATAACACGGGCGAAGTATGCAGACAGCACTTGGGACCACTACCTTTAGGCCCAGTTCTTGCTCACCTTTGAGCATAGAAAGTGGCATGCTATTGCAGTTGCGGACCTATTCGCTTCACGCATAGGCCAGGACGCCTTCGGGAGAGTGTACAGGTTGCCTTCAAGTCATTGTTTCACGCCATCCAACAGACTCATTTTACACTACTATTGTGAAGCCATTAAAAACGCAAAATAAATGAGCAACGCACCTTCAATTCTTCTATGATCCCGAACATCTGACCACAACATTCGCATGCGATGGTTTTTTCAATCCTCTTGCCATCCAACGACTGACTATGTTCCTTGCTCATGTGGATTTGCAACGAGGTAATATCTCTGAAAAAAAAGGTTTTTTTTTCAAGGCCTTATGAAGATAGATGTGGAAGGGCAGGTTGTA